ATACGAATTTTACGGAATACATACGATCCATTACTTGGAAACATACGATCCTTACTAATTTTGTATGTATTTCGTAAAATTTGTATGTTTCTAATTCTGGTAATGGATCGTATGCATTTCGTTAAATGCGTATTAATTCCAGAGATAGGGGAATTCTTTTTTACACAACCAAAGAGTCTCACCTCGCTGACGTTTCGGTGTCTGTCAGACACCTTCTTCAGAGCTTCTGACTGGAGTACTGCATCTCGCCGCTATATGTAGCCGATGTAGGTGGCGCTTTTGCGGCGAGAACACTATCCCAAACGTGGCTTAGTTTGTATCCCCCCTCGTCCCGGTTCATTACAGGGGTTGACTTTCTGATCCAAACTGCCTCCTTGATCCAGCGGGTTCTTCTATTGTCTTCTCTGTCTATAACTTTCGCCCCCTCCCAGTCAATTACGCAGTTGTTTCTAGCAATGTGATCTGTCACTGCTGATTTCTTTTCTTCTTTTTGTGCATGTCTTTTCTGTGATCTTGTGTACTTCACTGTGTCCATGTTGTCAGCTTCCTTCTTGTGTTCTTCTAATCTTGTCCCAAAGGTGCGTCCCGTTTCCCCTATGTAAACTTCATCGTCACCTACATCGGCTACATATAGCGGCGAGATGCAGTACTCCAGTCAGAAGCTCTGAAGAAGGTGTCTGATAGACACCGAAACGTCAGCGAGGTCAGACTCTTTGGTTGTGTAAAAAGAATTCCCCTATCTCTTATTCTGTTACTTCTTTTACATCAGTTTTCTATATTTCACATAGAATACACAATAATGAAGAAAACAGAAATAAATCCCTAACTACTCTAGGTACTTCAAGGTGTGAAATCTTTGAAATGTGTAATGCATGTTCCACATTCCAAATAATAAAGTACAAAACATACCGGTAGTCAAACAAAGCATAGGTCCATATGAAGACCTCCTAACCAGTAAATAAAAATGAAACTTAAGTGGTATGACCACACGTGACTAGCCAAAACCATAATGCAAGGAACAGTCCAGGGAGGAAGAAAGAGGGGTCATCATCATCATCATTCATCCTCCGTAGAGGTGGAGCATACAAAGTTAGTTCGCCACAACTGTCTGTCATACATCACTGAGAAAAGTTCATGTCCCTCCAAGCCAGTTTCAGTTTCAATAAGTTTCTTAACTGTTATGTTTGGGCGTCCAACTCTTCTCTTACATGTACAGGTATCAGGGTTCCAGAGTAGAAGCCTACTGGCTGGTTCTTCACTACGTATTACATGACCGGCCAAGCTTAGACGTCGACATTTGACTACTGAAGTTACATTTGGTAGCAAACCGTATACATGTAACTGTTCATTAGTAGTGTGTTTCCACCATGGTGTATTGAAAACCACTCGCAACATCTTCGTGTATGTTCCGTTTAGTTTTCTAGAATGTGACATATTCATGACCCATGATTCTGACCCATACAAAAGAATTGTTTCAATACATGCCTTAAACACTTTGATCTTAGTTTGTTTTCTAATGGGCGCTTTCCAAATCTTATGTAATGAGTGAAGAGCACTCCATGCCTGTGCGATCCGCACATCCATGTCATGAACACTATCAGAGTACCCCCCTAAGTATTTGAAATCCGCAACACATTCGAAAGAGGGGTAGGGAACAGAAAAGATGGGAGGATAACATCTGCCAATGGACCAGCATGACACTAAATGAAACACTGGTTATCAGATTATCTGTGATACCATAACAGTCAAACAATTAGACCAAGTGATATATGTAGATGAGATGAGATGAGATGAGATGAGAAAGTTTGTTCACGCTCGCACTGCCACCACTATTGCCTCCTTCAAAAGGAAGCTATGGGACTCTCTAGGCGACCCCTATAAGCCTTAGGTGTGTGACCCTGACCTCTCCATGTTGATGTATTGTATTGTTGTAATGTATGTGTAAATGTTTGTCTTGTCAGCAGGGCAAGCCCTTAATAATAACCACCTGGCTAGTTGGGCTGCCCTGGCTGTACCATTTGTCATTTTTACAGCCGAATAAATAAATAAATAAAGTTTGTTCACATACTCTGTGGAGTGAGCTGGCAGTACAGGATGACGTCTCGGCGCCCGATCTCGTCCAGGAACTTGCACATGGACTGGCAGTTGAAGAACTCTGCACGAGTCTCCTCCCACTCCCACAGCAGCACCTCCATGGCCGGCACAGACAGGTCCTGGCTCTTCTGCCGGATGGCCAGTAATGCCTGGAAACAAGACATTTTTTTTACCAACACTTGATCATGCACAAGAGGGAAACTTGCTGACCAATGTGCCTGTAGGCACAGGAGGACCTATGGTCTAATATAAGGTAAGGATCATGCACTATATATAAAGTAGAGGTAATTCATTCAATCTAACCAACCGCTACTGGTAGAAAGACATAACGTCTACGTAAGGTAATTTCCTTGGGACTCTCTCTCCTCAGAAGTGCGGTAGACAGTGAAGATGGTGTTGTAGCACACTTGGTGGTACATGTATCTTCCTTGGCCCTGTGGGCTTCTTCAAGCATACAGAGACTAAGTGATACAAGTTCATGAAGTTCTCACTTGTAAACCTTTCCAGTGTAATACTATACATGTAGTCTTACTGAGGGACGGCTGTGCTATGATAGATTGGTTAGCTTGAGGAATGGATCCAGTCTACATTATACTTTATTATTACACTGTTACTGTTAGTCAATGTACATGTACTATGAAAAACAGGTTTCACATATTAACTAGTATCAAGTAATGAGGCCAAATCTGCCTCTTACAGCGAGAGATTGTGAAACACAATAAGCTACTCACTGTGTAGTCCAGCCCTATTTTCTCCACCAGCATCTCCCAGTTGTTGTTGAAGGGCATCCTGCAGGACAGCATCTCGACCAGCCGCTCACGACGCTTCAGCCACGAGGGGTTGGGAGGAGACTTCCTCACTGTCAGGGGGTAGCCTTCCTGACCAAAGGTTTCATTCTGGGCAGAACAAACAATGATATGTTCAAAGAAAAATCAAACTCTCTCACTCTACTACTGGATAAATAATGGAGATGACTTCTGGATGTCTGTTACTCTTCTTCAGCATCACTAAATGAACTGAAAGCACAAACGGGAAAAACCAGTTGAACATGACAAAGACTCGTAAATGTCACTATTCTGTAAATGAGGATAGGGTAGTTCCTATGGTAAGACAATAAGACAATGATGATAATTTATGATTTAGATGGTTTAGAAAGCAATATAAAGACAAGAGAAGATTTTGCAACAATTGAAACATAACATAAAGGTCAAATTGTTCAAAAAACAATTTGGTCAAAAAATTAATAGGTTTATTGCAAATTCTTACCTGGAGGCTAATTGCAGTCCAAGTAGCAAGATAATCACAGACAGACAATGAATATAGCAGTATAGTATGTAACAAGTATTGTAATAGTATATAACAGTATAGTATTGTAACAAGTCTAAATACTGACTCTAAACTGTTGGGTAACTTGACTTCAGAATCTTTTACTAGAACAGTGGAAGATGAAATATCCTGTAATATGCACCACTGGGTTCTGTGATGTTAGAGGGTGATGTTTTTTTGTGTCTGTAGAAATATTAGGATCATGGCATTTGTTGGCTCCTTTAAAGAGTCCCTCCTCTCATAATATTAGATGGGACTTTTTGTCTTCCTCTTGATGTACAGTACTTTAAAATTCTATAGTGCCAGACATACCCTAATGCTGAAGTCTGCAGTGAAGGTGAAGACAGGTTTCCCTCCTGCCTGGAAGCAGAGATTGCCGTGGAAGGTGGAGCTGGTGTGGCTGCCTCGGACGGGAGACACCGTGAACTGGTAGCTGGACATGTTGGGGGCGTCCGCAGGGCTGTGGGTCTCCTCCATCAGAGCTTCATAGCACAACTGGAGTTGCTGTAGGCAGAAAAGTTTGCAAAAGTCATACAAATGTCTATACCGATACAGATACAAATACAAACATGAAATAGCTTAAAAGCCCCCTTTCCACTAGACAGTGATAGCTAGCTTAGCGACAATTAAACGACAAGTTTGCCAAGCAAAATATTTCCTTTTGCTTTAACCCCGTGGGAGAGAATTCACATAATATATTTTGATCCTACCTCATCAGTTTATTCTATCTATTCCTAACAGTATTTTGTTCACATGTGTTTAATGAGCACACTGGCAAAAAAGCACAATATGTACTCAGTCTGTAGGAATCTTCTGCTCATAAAATTACAACATGAGAACACTAACAAGAGATGTAAACTAGTGATTACAAAGATACGAAATTCAGTTGATAAATTCAATTTCAGAATCTGCAGTAAATAAGATGAAGGCTGCTTTAAATGAAAGAACAAAAAATTAATCTAGATAAATGAACAACATGACATGTAAACACAACTAAACATACCTCATCCATTTTGGGGTTCTCCACCCTGTATCCCTTGGTCTCTTCTAGCTTCCAGTGCATCCCAGCACTGACGGCGACCGGGCGGGGAGGGCAGACCAACTGCAGGTTCCTCGTCTCCACCTTTAGCGGAGAAAAGAGTAATAAGGAATATCATAATGTCATAAAAAGTGTCAAAAAATGTTATAAAAAGAGCTCAATCCCATACTTTGTCACACTGTTGAATGACTCTGTATAGTAGGTAATCCGTACAGTCCTTTTGTGCCTACAGGTTGTATTTAGTGTCCTTGTATTTAGTGTCCTTGTATATACTTTACTAGTATTTAGAAGAAAATAAGCTAGGGTTTTAAATAGTTGCGGCATTATGATTTTAATAAGTGATATGTAATATGTGCATGCAATTCAGCCTGTGGCTGCGATGTGAAACATGCCAATTGTACTGTTTATTGTATTTGTGAAATAAACCAATATATATAATATATTCTTTTATTAGATAAAGAAACAAGGATGTCTACAATACACATGAATACAGAAACATATTATTTTACTTAAAAAGTGAACACAAAATGTGTATGAAAATAGAGTTATTGTGAGAATCGTTATTTGGAACTTTGTAAACCATTTTACACAAAGTACATACAAAAAGGTACTTACCAATGTCTCCAGATCAGTCTTTTGGTGTGTCATAAACACGTACACACTCCAGTCTTTCCCGGGTTGTGGCTTCTCCGCAAACACCCCAACATTTAGTAAGAAACCATCACGCTGTAAAACCTGAAAAAAGGAACATCGTTAAATGATAAACATGCTGGAGTTGTGTGGCTGTCCTCAAACATAGGACCTTCAGGTTGATATCCCATCAGAGAGGATGTCCCTAACTGAGGCCAGGTACTCATTTTCACCTGAGTCAAGTGATCATGAGGAAATAAAGTGCCCACGGAAACAACAGTGTAGCCTGCCAGGGGTTTGAACCTCAGGTTCTGAGCCTAACAATCCTAACCACAATACCACCTTGCCTCCTTCTCAAAGGAACACCTTCACCTGGCACCTTCTCAGACATCTTACTATCTGTTCCTAGTGAGGTAATAGGACTGGGGTAAAGTGCCTTTCCCAAGGTGACCACACTATGGCCTGCCAGGAATTCCAATCCAGAACCTACAGGTGCAGGACTAACATTGATAATTACGTGTACTAGACAAATTTTACCTGCAACACTCAAAGCTTAGGAAGCATGGATCATTCTAAAAATTGTTCAGAAACCACTGTCAAATATTTCTATTATACTGTCAGGCTACTCACCGTCAGGCTACTCACTGTTCATATTGCAAATTAAACATTCCCACCTCTGATATTGTTGCTTTATCGATGTTGGAAGCGTGTTGGTATTTAGCAGCCAGGTGCCTGATCAGGTCGTCCCTGTATTCGTCTATTTGGGTGTTGATGTCCTCTCCCTTCTCACAGCGCAGGAAGTACTGTCTGTCGTTCACATCCTTCAGGTAGAACCCGGTACCGTGGTTGGGACCGAAGGTTCGCAGGTCCACCAGCGGTACTCTGTAGCAGGGGTGAATTGTCATTATATAATCAAACTGTAAAGCTTAGCACACACAACCAATTAAAAAAAATTAATTAATTAATGGTAAAATTTGAAGTCCTTCAGGTAGAAGCCGGTACCGTGGTTGGGACCGAAGGTTCGCAGGTCCACCAGTGGTACTCTGTAGCAGGGATGGATTGTCACTATATATTGTCAAACTGTGAAGATTAGCACACACAACCGATGGTCAAATTTGAAGTCCTTCAGGTAGAAGCCGGTACTGTGGTTGGGACCGAAGGTTCGCAGGTCCACCAGCGGTACTCTGTAGTCACAGGACAGGTAAATTTTGTATGCTTGATTTGTTTCAATATTATTTGATGTATGCCAAGTTTGGACCACTTATTCTGCTGTTACGCTTAAGTTCCTGCTTACCATTAAGTTACTAAATAATACTTTATTTTAAGTTGCTCCTTGATTGTACATAAGTTTGTTCATTCAGCATTTACTTTATGTTGTATTGTTATTATCTTATGTGTTTGGGGCTTGCCCTCCAGTGCGCATTGAAAACCGCCCTTTAGGGTGATATGTTCTCTGGTTAAATAAATAAACAAAACAAAATGTCAGGGTATTGTCAAACTGTGAAGCTTAGCACGCACAAAACTGTAACAACATCCTGATCCAGTATTTGAGTTTGCACAAGCGGCACAACGGAAGCATTTCAAAGCCCATGTGATACAACTGGTTGTCACATGGGCCTGAACACCCATATTGAACATTATCGCAGCCCAGGTATAACATAAAACTTAAATTGATTGTTAAAATGTCTTAAGTTTAATTGTTTATGTACTGTGTATTTGTTGTGTGTACTTTTTATGTATATACAAGATTACCTGAAAAGCAAGCCAAAATTAGCCTGGTTACCAAACCTATTATAGCTCCCGAGTCCTACATCCTCTCCTATTTGCGTAGAGGATGTAGGACTCGGGAGCTATAATAGGTTTGGTAATGAGGCTAAGCCAAAATGGCCTGAGATGTAATTTCTTAGTTAAATAAATGAAGTGAAAGTGAAATCATGAGTACCTGAAAGGCAACTGTGCTCCGATGTCCTCCTCTTCTTCTTCATCTTTTTCTTCTCCCTCCACCGGCAGGTTCTGACAGGCTATTTTTTCCTTCACCTCCTTTTCTGTGTACACCTTCGACAGCGCGAGCCACCTCGGGTAGACACACAGCACGGCTTTTCCGTGGGTCAGGTTCTGATTGGGAGGAATGTCCACTTCAAACTGATGACTGTCCCAAGGCTTTTCCGACAACCAACTTTTCAGCAACTGCTCCAGCTTCTTGTTACACCGCCTTGAAGCAGTGAAGAAAATTTCCTGGGAAACAAAAATTATGAAATGACAAAATTGCTAAGTTATACACAATATTGGTACATTAGGCCACACCTATTTGATATGTTGGTTCTCAGATTCACCCATTTCATTTTTTTCTGATTTGCAAAAAAAAAAAACATTTCAGGCTCTAAATCCACTCCAAAATGCTCATAGTTTGGCCCCAAAAGTTGAAGGAAGTCCCTTTTCTTCAGAGTTGACATTAATTGATACTTGCTAAACTTGATTTAAACCAAATGTCAGGACATTTCCTCACCTTTAATTGTCCCCATTCCTGGAAGGACGACGGTGTCCTTAAAGGCCATGATCCTGAATTAAACAAATGTCTGGACATTTTTTTTACCTCTTTACATTATAGAATCTCTGAGTTCTCTTACAATTAGCCTTTGGGCATAAGTTTACAAAGAAATCAATTGATGCTTGCTTAACTGAGTTTAGCAAGTATTGATTTAAAATTCGACAGTATCTGAACCAAATGTCAGGTCCTTTCCTCACCTTTAACTGTCCCCATTCCTGAAAAGACAGCACTACGGTGTCCTTACAGGCCATGATTGCTGAATTAAACATTGACTGGACCTTTTTTTACCTCCTTACATTATAGAATCTCTGAGTTCTCTTTCAATTAGCCTTTGGGCATAAGTTTACAAAGAAATCAATTGATGCTTGCTTAACTGAGTTTAGCAAGTATTGATTTAAAATTCGACAGTATCTGAACCAAATGTCAGGTCCTTTCCTCACCTTTAACTGTCCCCATTCCTGGAAGGACAGCACGACGGTGTCCTTACAGGCCATGATGCCATTGACTGGACATTTTTTTTACCTCTTTACATTATAGAATCTCTGAGTTCTCTTTCAATTAGCCTTTGGGCATAAGTTTACAAAGAAATCAATTGATACTTGCTTAACTGACCTTAGCAAGTATCGATTTAAAGTTCAACAGTATCTAAACCGAATGTTTCCTCACCTTTAGCTGTCCCCATTCCTGGAAGGACAGCACGACGGTGTCCTTGCAGGCCATGATGCTGTTCAGGTTGTCCAGCCTGACGGTGCAGTCATAGTCGGCCTGGTTGTCGAGACAGCCGCAGCAGTCCGAGTCGGGCCCACAGCGGGCGTGCCTCCTGATCTCCTGGACCTTGTCTTGGCTGATTAGCGGCAACCGTTGGAGGATTCCTCTCGACTCGTGGAAGAACAGCTTGATACAGACCCCTGAGAAGAACAGGGAAATGATGCCAGTCTGTCTTCTTTTTTTATACTCTTTCAAATATAAGGAAACAGAAAGTGAACCATCCAGCGTACAATACTCATAATATTAATAGTAATGGAAATTGATGCAGAACATAATAATAGTAAATAAAATGATGCCAGTTTCGTTAAGTCCCTGTCACACAGCTGAATATGGCCTCCCGAACACTGCCAAACTCCCCCCAGCCATGGTTAGGAGTAGGCTGTGAGCAAGGTCGGCTGTGGTTAGCTGGTGTTTTCGACCAGGTCGGCTACTGTTCGGCTGCACCAAATGTTTCAAAATGTTTAAAACATTCAAGAACTTATAATCAACATACCTGTTTAATTACACTATTTGTGACTGAAAATTCGAGTGATTTGCATTCAGCTTCTGCATTTTTTACTGGAAAGAAATTAAGTTTAACTCACCAGCATATTTCCGCACATGAATATATGCCTTTTTCTGGAAACAAAAGGAGAAAAAAAGTCATTCACGAACACGATTTCAAAACCAGCTTTTCTGCAGTAACAAGGAGCTGTCAGGTGGTAACTTGTACAGGTTTGACTGTGGATGATATAAACTCCCTGGCACTTTTGATCAATTGCAGACATCACGTATCCGTAAAGTCATGTGTCTGTAACCGTAACTCTCACAAGATTACCTTTTGGAGTGATTGGTCATTAATTATCCTGATGAAGGCAACAGTGGTCGTCGAAAACTTGATCTCTGTGTAACCTAACTGTGTTGAAATAAAGTTTAACATTTTACAAGATGTTTGACTGTATATAATTCAGTATGATTAGCCTTGAACCTGAAGGGCAGAGCTCTTACCATGATCCTCTTCAGCTTGTCCTGTTTCCCGTAGATGACCACCTGCATGGGGTTAGGCAACACCTCATCTTCCCCCACCGGCCTCTTGGGTCTCAATGGTACCAGCTCCTGTAAATAAACAATGTGACAAATTATCAACTTCATCGTAAATCAATGGACAGTAAAATGCATTGTGAAGAATAGCATAATGTATAGATAAAATATGTGATAAAAGTGTTATGCTATGGGACCGGTGAGGTGAGGTGAGGTTATATTCAAAGCCGATGCTTCTGTCTGTCACCTTCCTTAGGGCAATTTACGCTTGGTTAGTCATCTATAGTAGCAACACCTGTGCTGCAGTGTAATGTGAACCAGTCAGAATTGTCCTGGGGAAGGTGACAGACGGTCACTGACACGTTGGCTGTGAATAGAACACTTGGTGGTGTAAAAAAGAGTCTCGTTACTCAGTGACTTACCAACCTGATGAAACTACTTACCGATAAAATAGTTGTTTAGTAACTGTATTAGTAAGGTTTATTTCCTTTATTTGTTTGTTTAAGTAAGGAACTGTGCTCTCTCATGCGATACTGTGCAGCTAATCTTCTTCGCTACTGCCAAGCCCCACAACTGAGTCCTGTCCCAATACAATTTATGTCTGTCCAGGTATCATGCATGCAAAAAAAAGTAGTATAACACCTTTGTTTACACGTTAAGAGTATCAGCATATTATGTCTAGGCTTTTGTTAGACAAAACGTAACATCTCCTTGTTATGTCTGATATCTATGTCAATATTTGTAAACTTAAGAAGCTTTCAATTTATGTGTAGATTAATTAGCTAGCAGCCTGGTATAAAACTCTTTGCCTTACATTGTAACCTGTTACAATTGTTGTGTTATAAACTTTGACTTGACTTGGCCAAGGAGGTTTAAAGTACATGTAATGATTTTAAACCTCCTTGGCGCTCCTTGGCTTGACTCATAATACCTAAAGCTGGTGTGTTACGCCGAAGGGCGGTTATACCGGCTATACAGATACAGATAATTACCATGTTCTTGGCGAGGGACATCCCTTCATCTTCGTCTGCCGCCATGAAGATACAAACTCCTCTGTATCATATGCATCAGGCCTCGTCAGACAAGAGCTTCGTATCCACAGCAAACCGTACAACGCACCATGATGTTCAGCAGTTGCTACCGCATATCTGGGGTTCAGGTTCCGTGGTATAGCACAAATGGTAACGCACAAATGAACCAAGGAGGTCCCTTTTCTTAATGAACCTTACTAGGTTAGCTTGTACAAGCTAACATAATATGCCAAGGGGCTTTCCCTAAAACGTCCCGTCTCGCCTATTTTAGTACCGCCAGCGTAAAAACATTCAAGGTGAATAGTCGGGACATACCGCAGCAATGGGAGACAATAAACAAAGCCCCAGAAACAAAAGCTTGCTTTCAATCGAGCACTCCTCGATGAAAATATACTCTATGTCCGCTTATTTCCGGGTTAGCACATGCACACGTCTTGGACGAGACGACTTATACATAGGGAGGAGTTGTTCTATATGGTTCAAAAATACTGAAAAAAGCAAGCAAAATACAACCTTATTTAACAAATAAAACAAATATCAATTATATTTCTATCCAAGAACTTTATTTTTTAAAAGACAGCGTGGTACGAACATGTAAATTAAGACTACCGTGAAAAACTAATCTCCCTATATACTGGTATTATGGTTTCGTCTAACTGACCTTTTGACCTTATCCTTACTCATAAGTTTCTGTAGGCGGGGGAATTCAGCAGTAGGTGTGTTTTGTTTTGATGGGGACATTCATTCTTACCTTGCCTTGCTTTAGGTGTGTACCTGTACCTGTACAGTAAGGGGAAGTCAGCAGTAGGTGCGTTTTGTTTTGATGGGGTATTCATTCTCACCTGGCGTAACGTTTCCTGTACCATTATACCTGTCACCATGGAGCGCCGGAAAAGCAGAAGTCCTTATTCATGGTGGTAGCCTGGTATCCAGTCTTATCGTCACTATGGACTATTAACGAAGGTGGCCAGTCATGCATTTCGGTTGTGCAATGTTTGCTTTTAATTATCTACCTCAAAAGGTTACAGCAGTTATCTGACAGCAATGTTTCTATCCAAAACACGGCTTGAGAAGTAGCAGTAAACTTTCCACTAGCTGGGAAAACCTTGTTTCTACACAAGTTTTAATTACAGGTTGGGGCGGGTTTTCCTCGGGGCTGCAGGAGCTCTTCAGTCCCCGCCCGCTTCAGCTAGGTTTCCCGACAGGTAGATGGGAGATCGTGGTGGGGCAAATCAACTCCTCGGCGTGTCATCTGCTATACATAGGGATATATGTTAATTAAAGACTGCATGGATATTAGAAACTCCTTCAACGATTGTATAAGTTGATACCTATCTCATACTAGCCACCCACTTTTGTATTAGATTAGCCTTTTGAAAATGTAGTTGACGTGTACTTACTTTTAAGTTAGTAGATGCCATACTTTGTACACTGTACAATTGTTGCGCAATAAAGTTATTATTATTTATAATAGCGTAACACTCCTACCGGGGCGGCCTGTTGTACTGGGCGGGTGGAAAGTATAGAGCCCCGAAGACAGCCTGTCCCAACTACTATGCCCCAACCACGATAAGACTGGATACCAGGCTATATTCACGGTCGCTGAACAAGTAAAGACCGGATCTGTGCTGTTGGTTGTTATATAACAGGTGGCGATAAAAATAACCGTCAGGCCAAGGACATTATACACAGTATAATGTCAGCCGTATGACACTATACCAACAGGACCATTCCATTGCGTGACACCTTCAATGACGCCTTCACTACTACCGTACTAAGAAAACTTCTTCTTCTTCTTTCAGGCGTTAAGGCCTCCACCTTCAACGTGAATGAATATTCTGTCGCCTGGGAATATTCTGTCGCCTGAAACAACTTCTATCACCGCAAAACACCCCCATTCCTAACCAATTAAAAATGGTAGAACACGACGAATTTCGGCGTACACTATCACAACAACCTAAACCGTGAATCGCCAGCCGCATGAGGGTTACCCTGGGTGCCAGCCAAGTTTACAGGCCGCTAACCGTTTTTTTCGGCAGCCAGGGTACTTCGCCCGCAGAGGAGTATAGAGGGTGTCCAGAGGTCGTCCAAAAATTTATTTCGACACTCAAGAAAACAAGGACACAAAGAAAAAAGAAAAAAAATCCGCATCAACTGGATCCCAATAGCATATCATACACCAAAACTCCGTGTAAACAGGGGTCGACATTTTTTTCTGCAATTTATAAACCGTTAAAACTTAGATAACGTTAATACAGTAGTTCGGCACTGCTGTCAGCTCCGCCCTGTTCTATCTTATATCTAACATTTGGAACAACAAATCACCGACCCCTTTCCGCACCTGCGTTTTGTCGAAAAAAATAATTTTATCGGAACCAAGCACCCCTTTGTCTGACCCCTTTTCTGAATGCACGTAAAACCCGGCATACTTTTAACAACAGTCAAGGCCATGAGACCCTACCATTTTCACGGACGCGGGGGTGTGCAGAGGCCGTAGACATTTTTTTATTTCGACGCCCGTAAACACACAAAACATAAATGGGAAATCCCGTCATTTCCACCACAATTTCAAACAGTTCCAGAGAAAACCGTCCAGCCGTCGACCACTACCCTTAATGTTCAACACTGGAATTCCAGAACTGAGTGAGCTTCAGCACTGAAGCCGTTCAGCACTGGAACAAAGCCGTTCAGCACTGGGTGTCCAATCAGCACTGGGACACCAGTGCGGAAGACGTGGCTTTCGTACACTTGCTACATGTACGTCCACATGTCAGAGGCCGGAAGCCGTTAGCTTTTACCGCGCCCACTGATCATGATGCTGCATAGCGATGGGGCATATTTATCGTCTTGGAAACGACCTCATCAAATGGCCATATGGGCAGTTGACAATCGTTGTGATCACCCAACAATGAGATGCTCATAGCCTTGTTTTTATTCTGTTTAGAAATCACTACCACTATATTTGAAAAGTAACTTTTGGGGCGTGCGCCGACTGTCGCCATTATTTCTGTATTTTTGCCGTTGTTGTTCCTGTTACAGTTGTAGACACTCCAAGGTGAGCAGCTCCGTCATTTCCGGCAATTCGTCCTCAGGAACGACATGCACGGTCAGTCATGAAATGACCACACGAGTACTAGGTGTTCTGTCCCCAACGACCAACGCGTCTGCTAACATTCTGGAGCTGGTGAAAGTTGATGGAAAGTTCTTGGATCAAAGATGAGCTGTGAAGTTTGCCATAACCACATTGTATGCTGTCAAGAGATGCTGTAAGGACGGCGTTTTAGCAAGATTCGAGACTATAGGTTTGTAACAGATATGTATAAAATCACGAAATGTTGATCGGTAACATACAGCAAACCGGTTAGGGTGTACTTTGGGATCCAGGGGAAACTGAGTGGCGCATATTAATATTGATGAACAGTCTGTGTAGTCTAACAGACCGGTATTACTTAAGGGCCCTTGGGTGTTGTCTGATCTGACATATTTCTCTACCGTTGGACAGACTTGTGAAGCGATGAGTATTTCAGCACCAAGGACAACAACCAAAAAGCTAGCACAGTTGATCATGAAACCTGAGTATCAAGAAATCTCAAATGTAATTCGACGTTTACGTAATCATAAGCTTAGCTGCAAGGCACTGTATGTTAAATCGGGGAGAGGGGTGGGGGTAGTTTTGGTTTGGCGCTAGTCATAATAAGATAGTGAGTTTCTTTTAGTGACACTAAGGCACTTCATATATGTAGAAGAAAACACCGACTGCATGCCACTACACGTCAAGGCATGTCTTGTCCACTCGCTCCAGCCACAGCTGACCTGCTACTAGACATGTTTGTGCGAAGAAATCAAAGACAAAACGAAGTGAACGTACGTAACTGATCAGTGATCATGTGACAAGTTTTCCTGTGGAAGCTTAACGGCAGGTGTTTCCTGTGTAGCGATGGTGTGTGTATAGAATTCAGTGAATAGATTCTTCTGAACTCAGTAATCTCCCGTTCTTCTGAATAGATTCGTTAAAAACATCTGTACCGTCGCTCAGCACACAGCAGTCGGTAAAAGCAATTCGAATCGGAATGGACACCCTCATCTGATAACATAATTCACTGACTGGTCGACAAGTTGTGGTATTTTTTCAATTATAGTACTACACGTTTTTTAGTTGTACGGTGTTTGGACTAATATATATAATGACTACACCCATACATACTATTCGTCCCAAACAAGGAACACCAACTCCGTTTTTATATATTATCCGCAGACCGGCTGTTGACTGTTGAAGATTCCATGATTTCTATGTGCCGTCTGTTAAGCTGTCTACCAGAGCCACCCGTCTGTGGAGGTAACTGTGCTTTAATTTTTGCCACTTCTTTATAATTACTTTCCTTCTCAGGAAAGGCCCATAGAACTACATTTGGCCGTTTCAGGGCCTGATGAGCTCTTCTCTATCGATTGTTAATTTAGAAAGTATGAGATGCATTTAGGCTGTTTACTTTCAGTCTTTAACTTTTACAATGCTATGTTTGAATTCGCTACTGTACACTAAGATTCTTAAGAAATGTCCTGGTTACGCCAGACTTTTATTGTATTTAGTATATAACTATTGACGTTATTCCCAAGGCTTTATTAGATGGACAAAAACTCCTAAGATAGATAGATTCAAATATGGTTAAATGCATGTATCTACTATTGCAGGTCTGCCAGGCGAAATCGGTGTTCTACTACACATGACGTCCTGTGATGTAACATTTTAGGTTAGCGCATTCTCAATGTGAAATGGAGGTGAATTGTATACTAGTATTTGCCGTGTAATTGACTTTGCATCCAAATTACATTTTAAACCAGAGAGCGCGCTCACTCGTACCGCGTTCCATGTCCCTGAGACAGTGACTGGTATAATCTCGGTTATCTTTATGACAGCTGACGCACGTAAGTAGATTAGCAGGCAAATATCTACGCGAAGCCGTAACCCCAATGTCCCCAAACGTGATTGCGTTTGATGCGATATTACAAGCAACAGTCGATTCTGATACGTTTACGGCGTTGGGGTGCCATCATTCTGTCACTGTGCTCGAGTTGTTATGTTCGGAACGAGCGCTAGGGAGTGGCAGGAGTCTTTTGAAGGACGCTACGTCGCCGTTTTATTGAGAAAGTAACGGGCAAATTTTGCAAGCTCGTCAGGCATTTCAGTACTACTCTTAATATCCGTTTTAACGAGAAAAATAGCAAACTGCTGCGTCATTAGGTTGTATGGAATGGGCAGGGTTAACGAGAAGCTAGTTGATCTGAAATATATAGACTTTTGACTGAATCAATTACGAGAAAATGTCTTCGTCATGATTTCTCATCGTTTCGAGAAAGTGAAACAGACCATGACCGCAGCGGGGGAGACCCCCCCACACACACACACACTCAAAGGTCCACTCTGTATC